ATAAGTTATTGTAGTCATAAGTTCAGTACTTGATGATCAATATCTTTGAACTAAAAATTAATGTAGATCTATTAAGAGGTAATAAAAATACCTATTGTTTAGTTTTCAGATATTCATCTTTATTATGCTATCTATCTATACATGTCAAAAGAAAAATTCCAGATTTCGGGAAAATGACGTATTTTCGTTGCTGATAACGAAAATTGTTTTTAACTTTTTTTTGTCTGTCTGTCTGTCTGTCAGTCGGTCCGTCTGTCTGTCTGCAAGCCGCGTTTGTTCCGGGTAATATCATTCACTGAGGGTAGCTGATATAGACGGGAATATTACAGGATTCCTTTTATTATATAATGCATGGACGAAGTCGCAGGTAACAGCTAGTCTTTAATAATGAATATCGAAATAACAATACAAAGAAAAATTAAGTTTTCTTTTTGATAAAAGCTACACTTCTGCCTGTATCCAGAATGGAACCCAAGACGAGAACAATGACTCTCTAACCGCGAGACCTTAGGCCTCTTCAGTAATAATTAATATTTGAAACAATCAGTCAACGATTACCATAATAATGAATCATGGGACATTACAATACGTCCTTTGCTAAGGGCAGCTTTCTCCTCTGTTCTGTTCGTCGCGTCGTATTGTTACTATCGCAAGAAAGAATAATTATAAGCTTGATGTCGCGAATAATGCTATTATCTCGGTCAATGATAACTTAGCTTTCGATAAACAAAAGTCAACAGGAATATCGTCTTTATACCCTACGTATTAAGATAGTTAGGGATCTTTAGAAAAGGAGATAAGTGTTGTGGCGCGTATTGAAGAATGAGCCGAGTGGGTGTTCAGTTGAATTATGGAAATAGAGCGTCGGCACGGGCCAACGTGTTCAAACAATACCATAACGGGAAGGGGAACGCAATTTGAATTCCTCACATACAGAGTTGATGCTGGATCGGCTATAGGCTCTTTCGTAATCTGATTATTGCGGACGCGAAAATTATTGCGACTTCATTGTTTGCAAAATTGACATTAATACTTCTTAGTAGCAGACTTCTTTCAAGTGAAACTGAAACGAAAGAAGAAATATGTTATGTGTTAATTTGTTTTCAAGCTTTCATAGCAACTAGAGTGTGCTTGTAAGCATTACAGTGAAAAAAATATACAAGAAAATATATTTATATTCCTAAAACCCGTAATAATTCTCTCTACAACGATTACTATTTAAAAAAAAAAATTAAATAGCTTACATGTTTTACGTTCCACAATTACAATACAATCGGGTATATTCATGAACTAAATTCCTATTTCAAAAGTCGACTCACAAAAAGAGGCCGTTCATAAAAGCGAAAGAAAATTGCTTTCATATACTGTCGGTGGTCACGCGAAGCCCGGGCCGTGATTGGCGGACTAATGCGGTAAACGAGACGGAAAGCTCTTTGTTGACGATAAACGGTTTATGGACAACACGTACATTTTCTCTATTATATATCACGTTGTGGGGAATACAGACAGACAGGTGGAGGGGCGATGATATTTATCTATCCTAATCTTTAGGTACTATTTTATAAAGACTAGCAACTTATCTTGGCTCCCTTTGTATATCGCAAAAAACAAAGTTATATCTTAAGTAACTCCTTTACAGAAGAACTTTCAATTGATAAAAAAAATCATAATTCAAGCCAACATCAAGGAAGTAAATACTTATTTAGATAAATCAACACTACCATAGAAGACACTTCAAAATACTAACAGACGAACGACAAACAAAACAAAACGACAACGAAATGATTAAAATATTCCTAGAAAATAATAACAATGATTTCAGATGCATATTATACGTATTTAAATTATCTTATCTAAACCTAGTAATATTAGATAACGATTAATTTCTGAGGATAACAGTGATCAAATACCGTAAACATTTTATCGTACGTTAGCCAATGAAAAATATCTTAAACATCGCATTTAAATACCTATTAATTTTATACTAAAATTATCTCCAATCCCAATAATTAAAAACTAAATTCCGTTTGAATTTAGTTCGATAAAGATCACTCCATTGGTTATTACTTCTTATAAAACCTATTACAGCGGTGTTCGGTGGTTTTCTCCGGTCGAATGAGAATACATATACATAGTCTTATCATTATTAATTTTTACTATCGTTTAGTTATAGTCATTTTTATAAGAAATGCATTATCCTATCCACAAACTACAGCATTTGTCCACGGGTTTAATAAAAATAAAAAATCTTGATTTAACAGATAAAACTAACAGCTAGCTTTCGCCCGCGACTCCGTGTGCGTGCAATTAAAATAATATAAAAAACAAAAGTAAGTAGCCTATGTGTTCTTCCAGACTATCCTATACATCTGTGTTAATAACATCGAGATCCGATTAGCCGTTCAGGCTACAAACTCTAACAAACATCCACCCGTCCATCTAAATAAAGTTTCGCATTTATAATATTAAGTAATTAGTAATAACTGAATCCAGTACACCACCGCCATCGTTTACCAGATTTTTTTATTAAATTCTTAGCTAACTGATATAAGACAATGTGTACTGAGACCGTGAGTAAAGCACCTATCTAATCGCATTAATATCGGTAATCTACGCCGCATAGTGACTTGATAAGGCGATCTAGCGCTGCATTGGTGACGGCTGTCATTATAAAAAACGTCATTAATGCGTTTCAGCCAATAGCTTGCTGTGATGTCATAGGCATCGCGACGCTATATAGTCAAATAGAGCGAATCCACACAAGCGTTACGTTGAAACTTCGTATTTGTTGCGGCAACGAAACGATGCCGCTATTTAGTTTTCAAAACAACTATCACATACCGTACAACAACGTGTGTTGACAGAACACGTATAAAGACACATTCGTTTCTAATGCTGATTAATAATAGTTACTTCAATGATGTTCAAAATCTGACCGTAGTCTGTAATTGATCGTATTCAAAGTTTCTATCTATATAGCAAAACCACAACGCAGCGAAACGTTGCGTCCGTGTGGCATCCCCTTATAATATTCACGTTACGGTTGTTTAAAGTTAGAACTGCCAATCAGCTGTCTAGGAATAAAATTTGCATATGCAAATGTAGTGACAGATCTTCGTTTTAGACTTCCTGGTGCTGTGGTGTAATGTATTATTTTACTTTAATAACTAAAAAACTATGACAGATCAATTACCATATGTTAAGGAATTAAACCTCTTTCATTAGTGATCAGAAATTGGTAACTAAGTAAACGATAAGATAAAGATAATGGATATAATTTTGTATATGGCAAACAAAGAAATACAAGGTAACGTATTATGGAAATTACATTAAAAACCTATTTTTTAAAAATGAACTTGTTATTATTTTTTTTGGTTAAATTAAGTTACCTTTTTACAACTATTGTTTACAGTCTAAAAAAATAATCAATATAAATGTATTTAAAATTTAAAATGTATATGATTTATCGTACTATTTCTAAGGTCGACGAAACTCAGAACAAGGAATCAATAATTTAAGATGCAAGATAAAATCAGACGAAATCTTTCTCTGTAGTCGGGTTTAAAACCACAGGAGGTTCTTTAATTTCACAATGGCTTTATTCGGTACACGCCAACTGATTTTGCCGGCGTCGTAAATGAGCTAAATTGAAGCGAATAAAGCACCTTGCTACTCGCATAGGGCAAAGACTAGCCCATGTTATAAATTCAAAATACATATTACAGTCATCTCATACAATAATGGACTCACTGGATAACCTAGTTATTCTGGGATTTTAGACTTTAACTCAAATCTTATTTTAAGTTGTAGAAACTTTGTATGAAAGAAATTGTCATCTTCACATATCAGTAATTTATGGGTTTTTTTTGTCTGACGATATGTATTGACCCATTTGAGCTTTAAAAACCGATCGAGCTTATTAAGATGGTGACAATAAAATATAGTTACACAAATCGATATACACACCAGTTAAAAGGCATAACGCTCCTTTTAGACAAAAAGTGACGTATCTGTAATACGGCCTAATCTGTGCGCCGTTGCCTAAGCTCGTCTAGCCGCAATGGAGGAGACTCTGTCGCAATCGTTCGATCCGCAAAGGTCATGGAAGGAATTTGCGCGGTCCGGCACAGTTGCGACACCGCCGCGCTCAGAGGTTCCAATCGTTAAACTATGCACCGAGCAGGGAGTTCACGATTTCTCACTCGGATAGCGGACCACGGAACAGGTTGATCGGTACTCGAGATTATAATTATTGATGCGAAATAATATATCTCCACCACAGCCCCTTGGCCCATAACATTAACGTAATCGTCGACGAAGATATTGCACTTACCTCCTTCCATTTCTATCACCGATTTAAACTGTTTTTATTAACATATGAACAACTAACAAAAAACATTATTAATGTTAATACTATTAGTTAAAGTTTTAAACATCTAAGACGTTAATATGCAGAGGCAATAGATTTCTATACACTGGCAAACATACACTTTTTTTACTTAGTTTAGTTACTTAGTTTCGTATATGGTCCTTTTGGATACTTAAAGTAACTTATGAATGAGTAAGACTCCCGAAAAGCTATCTTTCAAATCAATTTTATAATATTTTTATAAGTACCGCAGCTTATGGGTCCTGTAAAAATTGAAAAAAAAGTGAAGTTAGAAAATCATGGGATGTTAAATTAAATACGTTATAAGGTACTAAAGGTTCGTCACCTGTGGCAGCGGCGAGTGCGTGGGTTGAACCATTGTATGGTAATTGTGGACCTCAACGCACCTCAGCCTGTCCGCACGCCGTGAAGAAATTGGAAAATGTCAAAATGATTATGGACCTACAATTTACATATACAAGAATGTTAATCTAAGTAAAACGAATAGATTTGATTGAAATGAACAAAGCATATTTTAGATACTACAACATAATTCTATTGAATCTTTGATACATTTTCAGTTGGTAAACATTTAATTAAACATCGTAACAACAGTTTGTTTGTTTTGTAGACATCAGAGCTGGAGTCGCTGCTGTGCAAGCAAGAGGGCGCCTCGATCGCGCCCGCCCCCATGGACCTATTCGATGGCGGTCCATCTTCCAGAGAGGATGCATTCCGGCCCGCACTGTGGGAGGACATAGCCTCTTCAATAAGAAACATCGACCCGGAGAATGCAAACATGCTCGCGCCGCTCGGTGCAACCCACGTCAAACTAGAAGCTGATGACCCCTTATTAGAGGAATGTGCCACGCCACTCCTGAGTCCGCTTGAGATCAAAACGGAGAGACTATGTGCGCCCCCTACATATGCCCTTCCGCCCCATCCTCCTCAGCACCAGGTGCATGTACAGCCGCCACCTTCCTTCGCCAAGTACCCGCCGTCGAGATTGGTGTATATGGCACCACTCACTCCCCCCGGCTCCGACCAAGGCAGTCCAGGGAATAACATGCAGGTGAGCATAATAATAATTGCGCTATGCGATTGCCTGCGATGAAGCGTATGATGGTACCATCTATACTGAGCGATTGTTTTTTAATTTGCTTTTGTCATTCGTTACTTATAATTATAGAAAAAATATGTTCTATGTTAATCGTGGCTAGTAATTAGAAAAAGCACAATGTAATCTCCGTAGGGTGGAACAAGACGGACGCCGCCACCGCCCTACCATCCGCCGCCGTTGCTGCGTGCACCTCACGTGCCTCACGCGCCTCACCCGTCGCACGCACCTCACGGGACCCACGGGACGCATGGGACACACGGAAGCCATGCAAGCCACGCGAGCCACGCACCCCACACCTCACACGTACCTGCCCATCCTTCAGCGCATAGTCATCTACATCCACAGGTAATTTTCAACAGACCAATAATAATTAGTAAATAAACATTTCACTCGCTAATATCGGTTGAACCGTTTAGACTAAACGATGAAGGTAACTAGATAATTAAACTAAATTCAATCTCCAGAAGAAATGCTGCATATAAAAGAATTCAACTTTTTTAATAAGATATATTTATATATTGTAACTTCATTTCACTGAAACGAGATCGTTAAATTAAATTTTGTGTAGTTTAAGTAGCAATACAAAATAGGAGCGAAGTATTCTCTGTGTTGGTATTCGTTGGCCATGTTAAAATTTGTAATGCGAGAATGTAGGGCAGAGTAAAGGTGAGCTCGGTCAGAACTATCGTTTATATTAATGCCGATAAAATTACAGGAATTTTCTTTCACTGCTATTGAGGCGTAGTTATAATAAATACCAGTTCCGTGAATATCGTTTATTAATAAATAAGCTATAATTTATGTGTTAAGTAACCAATTATAGCAGAAAATACTTAATACCCGCTGTATACCAAGAAAACTAGAAGGAATAATGAAGAAAAAAATATCTTACCTTATATAATGTTTGGACGATTCAGACTTAGGTCCAATTTTCACTTAGCGAGTAGACTGCGTTCAACATTGTAACGCTAATGTTGCTATACAAAATGAGAAACGCGAGTACAAAAATCATTAAAAGTTTTCCACGGATAAGCGTTTAACAGCTGTTGATATTAACCGAACTTTTCGATGCTAAATAATTCGCACGCAGACTGCTCCAGAAGCCACTGCCAACTGCTTAAATTACGAGTAATAGTGTAATTGGAAATACGGTAAAATATTTGCAATGAAAGGAGGAAAGAGAAGACAAAAAGCGTGTGTAAACGAACACGGATCTAACTGCATACCATGTACATAACATCAATTAAATTAGTATGACTCATGACACAAAGATCTCGAATTCAACCGCACTATTCGTGGTAATAGGTAATTAGTTAAACAGTTTTCAAGGTGACAGATACTGCATATACAGAAAATAGACATTGTGTTTGTCAACTTGTAGTGTATTATCCAGAGAGTCATTTAATTAATTGTTCGCAGCGGTAAATACACTGCAATATTTCAATTCCTACTTTATCTCATTCCAAAGGGATTTAAAATGCTAAGACCAATGTACTGTGTATTACTAACAGTTCAATGGTTTACGTATGCAACACAGTGATACTGATTTAGCTAAAAAAATCTAAATAACTACTCAATTTTAATCTTCTTCCCTTCTCCTTGCTCGTTTGTATAATTTGTTCATAGCACAGAGCAAGCATCTACCACAGACTAACTCTATGTCACGGTCATTGTTCTGTGATGGCAGTATTCAAACAATTTGTCTCTTATCCAGGCGATGTCACAGATGCAAATGGCGCCACAGCAGTCTGCGCAGGCGCACACCGCCCCATTACCACACTCTCGTCTAGATCCCCCGCCACCTGTCAAATACAATCGCCGGAACAATCCAGAATTAGAAAAGAGACGAGTCCACCACTGCGACTTTATTGGTAAATTTATTTCTTCTGATTCTCTTATTTTTTACATCTCATAAAATGTACTGTTTAAAGAAACTGCTTCTAATATTCCGTCAAATGTAAACGTGACATTAGCACGTGACAATTTTGCAACTTATTAAAATGTAAAATTTTGTAAAAGGGTAATCTTTTTAATATTTGTACTATGCTCAATTTCAGGTTGTACAAAAGTTTACACGAAAAGTTCGCACCTGAAAGCTCACCAACGTATACATACAGGTAAGGAACATGTTTTAATGTTTTTAACCACATTTTTGTGTGTAACGCCATTGCGAAATATTTAATCATTATTGCAATAGCGAAAATATTTTAATATAACCTGTGAGATTTAACTAATAAATAACATTGAAATCTTGTAAGTAAGTGGTTTAAGATATTATATTAATAACAAACCAAAAACCTAACATTTAATAACAAAAGCACAGCGAAAGCTTTGACTTCAAGGAGAATCATGTGAAAGTTTACATCGTGTTCAAAATATTTATTTAATTTTCTTACTATAGAAATGAATTATTAATCTAAATGAATGTTGTATCTCTCAGGTGAAAAACCGTATACATGTCAATGGCCGAACTGCGAATGGAGATTTGCGCGGTCCGACGAGCTAACACGTCACTACCGCAAGCATACTGGTGCTAAACCCTTCAAATGCGCGGTGTGCGATCGCTCCTTCGCCAGGTCTGATCATCTTGCACTCCACATGAAGCGGCACCTGCCGAAGACGTCCAAATGACACGCAAGGAGGGGCGGAGAACAGCCGCCCGCGCCTCCTCCTCCTCAGGTAATTTCAACCCTTAGTAAATGCTTAAATTTCTTGGTGACTAAGGAGAGCTGCGTACGAAGATTGCTACACTAGTTGCGCTCTCGCAGTGGCTGAGATATTAAAAAAAAATATAGTACCACGTTTCGTTAGGTATAATAATTGATTAGTTACAGTCAAAGTAGGTCTTAGTCTACAACGAAAGGTTTTAGGTTGTTAAAATATAAAGAAAGATGTTAGGAGATAACATCAAATATATAGTTAGAAATCATTATACCAACTGAGTGTTATATCCTGGTTCTGCTCGACTTTGTCCAGAATTTGAATAGCTAATAAGATAGTCGATCGCCTAATTCCTTTTTAAATTTGAGTTTTGATATTTATAGTCCTCAGAAACATATTTACTTTAAAAAGGTTACTTAAATTAATAATAATATTTACAGAAAAATTACACAGGCAAAAAAGTAGCGTAGTTAATTTAATCGTATCCAAGTTGAAGGCGGAACACTGGCCAGTTTCGCAGCAGAATAGCTGTCGTATTCGTTGACGTTGTAAGAGATCAGGGTAATTGAAATCCCGCATGTTGAAGCGCGTTTGTACACGCCATATCGATTATACGCCTTTCACGACTTAAAATAGCTATTACAATTTATCATAATAATACCCTGCATGTTACTTGTTCTACAGTCGAAATACCGCAATACTTTCAACAGGATAAGTATGAACGGTAAAATGAAATATCACAAATAACTCACTTTTTTAATATGTCAAATTAATTCAATGGATACCTACTATCTAAGCTATGTACGTCTACTATATGCATCAAAGCCATAGACCATAATACCTGAGAGAATTGTGTTCACTGCAAAAAAAGTTTATAATCAAAGAAAAAAACTTATTAACTGCAAATAATGAACACAATTTAATTTTAAAAAAATAATGCAAAAGTTTAGATGGTGGGATGTTTGTTACAGTTGGTAGTCTAAACGGCTGAATGGATTTCGATGAAATTTGGAATAGATGTAGAGAATAGTCTAGAAGAACACACAGGCTCACTTCTTTAATTCCACGCAGATGGACTCGCGGGCGAAAGCTTTTATTATACTACAATAATCTTTTTTCAGGAGGCTTATAATGAAAACATCTTTCTTGAGTGCGATCTGGATTCAAGTCTGATGGATACCATCTACGGTGTACAGTGACTCGGGACAAATCGTATCAGAACTCAAGGCCTCACACTTCGGGCTGACTCAAATGGATTAGTACAAGAGCGAACTTGCTTCAAAATATACAGATCTTTACCAAGCTTCGTTTAGATTGCTTTTAAAAGTGTAACTTATTTTATTAATGTCTTAAGATTTTATGAATTAAGACAATAGTGATGGAAGATTACTTATCACGGAATACCAGTTAACCAATACGTATTTTAATATAATCGTTTAAAAGCACAATAGGTACAATCATTACCAAGGAAATCGCTTTACAAACAAATGTAATTATAAATTATTAGTGCAGTCATCTATTAAGCAACATAACGTTAAAAGTATTTTATAAATTTCTATATGTACATTAAATAAATATAATTTGTATTACGCGACACCTTGCAAAATAACGAATTGTTTCTAGCATCACTTATTTTCATAGTTTGAAGTTATAAAACAAAATCTATAACACCCTCTGTAGTCAATTTTATAAATCTCATTTTTAATAATCTGTGTACATGTTAAAAAAATCTTAATTGTTACTTAAAATGTTTGCTCACTGTGAGCAATGGTGTCGCGAGAAAGTTCGAAAGAGCTCTAAGTATTCATTAGATATGATTAATTTATTTTAAGCTAATTTAATTTTAAGGAAATCAAATATCTAAGATATTATTGATATTTTTTATTTTTTAATTGTAATTAAAAACATTAACTACTTTAAAAATTATAGATGTAATCGTACAGTCGCGTTTTCGGATCTTACGACCTGGGTTGTGAAATGTAATTTATTTAGAAATATCAATTATTTATTGTATTCACTTTTTTATAACTAACCATTCTATATTTGTGTTTAAACGAATAGATAAATTGAGTGTGTATTCGTAAACACATATCTTTGGTTCTATTTGAAAAGAACAGATATAACACGAAGTTTATATACGATTTTTTCTCAATACAACTCACAATTAACTTTATTCAGGTCGTTGAATTCGGAATCGCATATTTACACTATCTAGTCTCGATATAATTCAATCTTAAAATAGTTAAAAAGTACATTTAAATACAATTGTTCTGTATTCAATTAAAATAATTATCAAAGCCGATTAAAACCAGACCTCTGTTTAAGATAAAAGAAATAAAAAAAAAAGTTTGTTATAGGAATTATAGCTGAATAATTAAGGGATTTAGAATGAAAAAGCAACAGCCTTTCAGTATCCGTCCACGGCCGTGAGTTTTCCAAAATAGTGTATTCGTACGTTTTCAATTTTGTAATTCAGAATGGTATATAAAATTTGCCATATTAATAGTCACTAGTGGTTTGTAATTAAGTATTGCTTACTATTTTTTATATTAGCAACTTTCGAATGTCTTATTAGTCATTATTAATAATATCGGTGCCTTTATAACAAGGTGCATGTTTTATTATACATTTGAGGCAGTAATAAAAAACTGCAGAAAATATATTAACTTGCATGGTTTGTCGTGTATTTGAAACAGATGTCGCGAGATTGGTTCTACTTTTTGTTATGTTTACAATAAAAATTGGAGTGATTTAATAAAATATTTATCTAGGAGTGTATGTTTCCTAAGATGCTTTCAATATTGTTACAAATTGATAAAATTATCTTCAAATTTGAAATCCTTTAACTATATTTTGTTTAAAATTATTAATCGAAATTCAGTGAGGACGATCTATAAAAGTAAAATAAAATAAAACCAGGGTTTCTTTTTAATTATAATTATTTTATTAGTCGTTTTCAAACTACATTGTACATAATTCTACTTTTAATAATCTTCATGCAAAAAAAAATGTTTTATCAAAAAAATCAGCGTGACGTAACTTTAATCAGTATTTTCAGATAGATTTTGTGTTATTTTTAACACAAAATTTATGAAATGGAAGAAATTATATTTTAACTAATACTGATTCTCACAAAGTACGAGTACTGTTGAATTTACACATAGATCTTGCCAATCTACTTTGCATTTAATCATGTTATTTAGAATTGTATTAATATTACGATGATTTTAAATATTATAAAATTGTAACACTTTCCCAGAATTTAACAAATTATGGTCAATGTAAACTTTTCCATATCCGAGAACCAAAGTGTTAACTTTCGTTTCCGAAATAAAACATATTAATTTCCTGTAAATTCAATTTAAAGAAAAGTATTCAAGGATTTTGAATGTAAAGTTAAAAAAAATTACATCTGAACTAGAAAGGTGGTAAAAACTATATTTATAATTAATTAGATGTTTAAAATAGACTCATAATATGAACAGATTAAAATATTATATGACGATAATTGCCATAAAGTTGTAAAGTTGCCATATTTCATAATAATCTTAATTATAATTTAACTTTTACATAAAGACAGTATGTTGTCTTCCTGTCCGTTGTACCTCACTTTCTTTACTCGCTCGTTTATCGTATGTATTGTACATACTTATGTAATTTTGTTTTATTTTTAATTTTACGATTGTTTGTATCTTTTTCAATTAGGTTGTTTAGTTTTAAGTACGTAGTTGTACGCGTTGACTAAGTCACCATGATAATTTATTACCAATGACAAGTTTTTAAATTCTTTTTTTTTTAATTTTATATATTTTTTTTGTAAAGTTCTAAGGTTAAATGTTGATATATACGCATGTAGTAAGTATGGATTCACATTATGGTGTTTTAAGATATATGTTAAGATTTGCCAGATGTGTGATTTACTAACATTTTTTGACACTTAGATATTTTTGTGTTACCTTTGTCGAAAAACAGCTTGCCTATTTAAATACAAGATTGTTTAGATTCTGTAAATTATTAAAAAACATTGAGTGTAATGACAAATGTTAATAAAATAAACTGTTGTGTGTTTATTAATTGCAAACTTTGTAACAATGTTAAAATAATAAGGAATTAAAATGACCAAACCTAAGCTATCTCGAACCATAGTTGCTCATCTCTGGTAGCATTTCTTCATTCGTTTCGAAATTCAAATTTTCTGATTAGATAATCTTTGTAACCTCACCTATATGAAATTATTATTGTAACCTTGGTTTAAATTGTCCATATATTGGGATCGGCAATTAAAAAACATCAGTCCAACCAAAAATAGTGAAGCTTTTTTTCCATATATTCCTTGAGCTGAATAATATGAATATTTGTAAAGCATGCTGCACACAGCCTAGTCCGCAGCTGAAAAGTTTCTCTTATTATAGCGTCTGTGTGACACATGCCTTGAATTTTGCTGGCTTAATGTCGGTGCCATAGCATTGATGCATAACAATATCGTTAAGGGCTCGAGGCTGTTAAATAGTTTGTAGTAGTTATACCAATCAGTCAAATAAAAACATTTTGCTAAATAAATTGTAAAAGTTATTTTTAATTCAAATCTGACAAAACTCTAAAATACTAATGACTTTATCCTTATTAATTGACGTAGGAAAAAATTTAGTAAATGGGATTTTGCATATTAAATTGTGTTCACTTTAATTCTTAAAAATAGTTCTGCGGAATGTTCATTTCATAAACAAAATGAATGAATAGGTTTTTACCTTACTTACGTTGAATTTTAGTTACCCCTAACAAATGCAATCGTTACTTATTTGACTGATAAAACTAGCTAATACGTTATTGTAGCCTTTAACCTACGATTTGTAATAACATAAAAGAGGTTTATATAAAAGATTCAAGAGTCTTGTAAAATATGTAGCTGCAACTTTCACTTCAGAACAAAATAAATTTAGTCACATTTAATTGGAGTTTTATTAACTTGTAGTTTTTGTTATAATAATCCTGGTTTGCAATTACGAAAGCAATATTGCAATAAAAATATGTTATCATTTAAAGTGTGGACACACCTGAAACTAAAATATTGCACAACTTTGTGATCTTCCTATGAGCTTACATGGAGGTGCCCCCACGATTTTTATTTGTGCAACTAAACAGTTGAATTGGCTGCGAAACAATCGACAATCGCACAACAGACTGCGATAGTTTAGTCAAAGTTGTGCGCCCGCTCTTAAATAAATATAGTTCAGACTTGCTTGGTGGCAATAGACTAATCGCTTAGGGATCGTAGATCAAATCTTGTGATCTTGGGTTCGACTGCTATTCTTATAGTAAAAAGGGGAAACCGACACCTGATTTCGTTAAAATAATGAAGTAACTATCTGTAGCCACCTATAGAATGCCACTATTGTGAACTAAATCACAGCGACCAATACATATACTAAATATCTCTCCTCATCATCCCTTAATTAAAATAGTGACCAGTCCTTGACCACCTAATCTATTAAACACATTATTTTACCAACCCGACGTGCATTCTAAAAAAAGTGTATTGTTAGCCTCAATAAAAAACGTCGTGATCTTTAACGTTTCCAACTGTTCCTAATTCATTCAGCAAATATCTATAGTAATTTAAAAATTCGTTCAAGTAAACACACGTGTCAAGTTGAAACGTCACCTAGAATTTAAGACCCCACTTCAGCGGATACTCGCTAAATGAGAAACGGTAACACCCCTAATGGTTTGCTCAAACAAACAACCGTTATTAACCACTTTATATATAGATAGCTAGCCATGTCCACTCTCATTTCTTCACTGAAAGTATAGGGGAATTCTAAATCAAATTATATTTGAATATGACCTATTTATTTAAATAAAAAATCTTGTAAGAATCGATCTTGCTTTGTTACTATTTTAGTGAAATATCGTTATGGATCGTAAATTTGTATGGATTATTGTTGCTACGTGGCTTGTTGCTGTTGCCGCTTATTCAATTTATGATGAAGATTTGGATGAAGACTTTGAGGTGCAGGGAGATAGAAAGGGAAAGATCTGTAAGTAATCGACAATTACATACGTAAGTTTGGCAATATTAAATACATTTATTAGTACTTTTATTTGCTTAGCGATTGTTTTATGCTGAAATTATATTAAGTAAGCTTTTGCGTTCTTATTTAATCTATAATGTAAGAATTAAATTGTGAAATAAACTAAAAAATTGCATGACACAAATGTATTCAAAATGCCCATTTGTTGAACTGAATTTACTTCAGTCTTTATTTCACATACTTTTAACCAAAACCGTAGAATTTCACCGATATAGTACCCGGCATTTGATTTGGCACCTCAAGGAAAAGAGTACCAGCCGACGTGCCAACTCAAGCGTCGGCTTTTTGTAAGTCATGTGGCGCAGGTCTAATTCCAAAGGCTTTTCAGTGTTTCCGTTCGTGAGTATAGTTCGTTTCGCAAACACTGACTGTGCGAGTACAAACACAATGAACGGCACTTGCTTGGCGCGGAGGGAGTGCAATAACCTCAACGGAACTATAACTGGGACTTGCGCATCGAGAAGAGGAAGATGCTGTATTGGTAAGGGATTTTTTCTCTTTACAACACCTTCTGTGCCACCACCTCCCTTTGCAAGTTCACTTTCAGTTCTATTTTGAATATCTCCATGGATAGTAAAATATATAACCTAAATTAGTTGTTTCCAAAACAGACTTGGCTTTAGAAATATAAAAAAAAAGAAAACAATATTGTTACCCATTTTTCAGTATGTAGACCGTGGTATTAACCATATATCAGTCATGCTCAGATTAAAGTAACTATACCCTGCAATAATTATAAGTAAAAATAACAGTGTATTCTATTTAGTTTCGAGGACTTGTGGTAGTACGACAAACGTGAACAACACATATTTCACGAGCCCCGGATACCCGGGTGCTTACGCCGGCGGACAGACGTGCACCCTTATCGTCAATCGATGCAACTCAAACGTCTGCCAGGTAATACTTTGTTTCCTATGCTATATTAACCTGAAGTGACACGAATTGCAACACTAGCTGTTGCCCGCGATTTCGTACACGCAATATTAAGATAAAAAAGTAGCCTATAACATGTCCGTCTATGTCAGCTGCTTTTCAATGAAAGTCCGGTCGAAATCGGCCCAGCCGTTTCGAAGATTACCCGGAAAAATGCGGCTTGCGGACAGACAGACAGAAAAAAATTAAATACGATTTTTGTTACCAACAATCCAAATACATTATCTTCCCGAATTTTTTTTTCTTTTGAATTTACAAACAGACCCTCCAATTTTATTGCATGTATTGTATAACATCTCGTTTACTTTAGGTCTACCTAATGTCCTAAAGAATCAGTCCTTAGTGTCAATCTGACGATTTCTTTTAATGAGAGGTAATACAATAATTGCCCTTAAAACGATACATCAGGTCTATTGCTATGGATTAACAGAAACATATGTGTATAACAATAAAGTTTATTGGCTTCGGCCATTCTAATTTTTACTATATCTTATCTTTTTATTTCCAGCTCCGTATCGACTTCTTAGATATGGTGCTCGCACAACCGAGTGGGGATGGTGTCTGTGTGACTGACTCAGTGACTATCACCGGTGGTAACACCATAGTGCCAACCATCTGCGGTGATAACACCGGTCAAACCATCTTCGTCGACTTCAACCAAGACGCTGCAATTACTATCACCATCACAGCCACATTGGCTACAACATTTTCAAGGAGATGGAACATAAGACTCACTCAGCTTGGATGCGATTGTCCGGGCATAGGTAATTTTAATAGAGAATTAACAATCTTTATAATATTATAAATGCAAAAGTTTTTAGAGTTTATAGTTTAAACGGCTGAGCGGATTTAATGAAATTTGGCATACATATAGACTATGTTCTGAAAAAACACATAGACTACTTTATTTTTTTTTTAATTCCGCAAGTACGGAGTTGCAGACGGAACCTAGTATTTTTATAGTACCTCATTAATATTTTGGTCCTTCAAGTCAGATACTGCAGGTGATTTAAGGAAAATCTTATAAATACCTATCTTTATTCCAGCACCTAACGGATGTTTGCAGTATTATACAGGTCTAACGGGTACTATTAACAGTTTTAATTATGGAACGACACCGAATACAGCGCTCAGCGCATCTCTTGTTACTGGAACCCGACAGATCGCGAATTTGAATTACGGCATTTGTATCCGTATGGAAGCTGGTTATTGTGCGATTCAATATTCTCAGGTAAATAGAAAACTTCCTGTTTGATATTCACTATTTCTGCTTCTTCTTTTCTGCCCCTTTACGTATGCTTAATTAATGAATTACATCTGCCGCCACTATACCTCAGAACACATTTATTCGTGTAATAATAACATTTTTCTTTCGTTCTCAATGATTGCATCTCTTTCTTAAGTTTTAAGTTACGAATTAAAATTGACCATAAAATATTTTACAGGCGGCTAACGACATTTATTCATTCACGGTAACCGGGGATGTAGACGGCGCAGACAATACCGTGCTAGGTACCACTGTAGGCGCTGTCAACGGTGCCGCTTGCACCACGGATTTTGTAGTAATAGCAAACCCAACGGTGGTATCTACCGGAGTATCAGCGGGTACAGATCGATTCTGCGGCCTTGGATTTGTCCCGGTTCAGAGTAAGTTGTATTTGAAACGAACTTAAGAATACTCTTTAAAACAACTTTGGCTTTTCGAAATTCACTTTTTGATTTTCAACAATGTATCAAGAGTACGCTAAGTATGGATCCAATTTTGAATGGGCTCTAAAACATAAAACGACCGTGACAGCGTTTTAAAGCGTGCGCACACCTTTGACTTAAGTATCCCACAACTGTTGTGCGATTGTCGATTGTTTCGCAGGCCATTCAACTGTTTAATTGCACCATATAAACTCGTAGGAATCGAGCGAGACTGAAGAGAGACTAGTTGTTCGATAGTTTAGTTTCTAGAGTGCGGACGGTTTACGGCGATTTGCTTTTATTCCCAAATTTGGTAGTTTTTATTGAATGTGTCTGAATTTAAGTTTGGGTCTATATTATTGTTTAATTTTTTTCAGCTGGAGCAAAACCTTTTGTCTTATACGTTGTGACGGACGCAAACGAAGGGGCGACGGCGACAACGCCCCCTGACGTTTCTAACAGAGGGTTCTCTCTCGCTTACACACAAGTTGCCTGCTAAAATCACTCTAGAACTACAATATAAGCAAAGATATAGAAAATTGTTATTGCGATATTTCCATCACATAGCTAGAAAAAAGTGGTATTTAAGTGTCTTAAGTTAGTAATCAGGAAAAATCTTTTTATTGATTCTCACTACTCTACTATAGTTTCTCATGAAAATTGTAACTCTAATGCCTAAAAGCGAATAGAAAAAATTATTTTAGATACTATGCATTGTAATCAATGTGTTACTTAAAAAGAGAACTTAAAATGAACCTTATTAGTTTATACTTTTGTTCTCTTTTTGACTAAAGAAGTAAATAAAAAAAGTTAAAAGTTATGCAAGTTTTATTCTTCAAAACACCACTACAATAACAATATCACCTCAACTTTAACGAACAAAACATTTTTGTACTAATAACAATAACATACTAGTAATATTTAAACAATAACGAAGCTCTTTATGGATTCAATACTTTTTTTGGACGCAAAAATTTATTTAAAAACATAATTAACCAATAACATGATTCAAATGAAGTTATAAACAATACATGAAATTAATGTCATTATTACATGATTTTTTTTAATATCATTAATGGTAACAAATACACTAAAATGTGGAAATCATAAATATTAATTTAATTTTAATGTTATATTTTGTTCGAATGTGAGTATAAATTTAATTATTTGTACTACAATATGTGCACTATCCTAGAATTGTTAAATCCTATTTTTATTTATTTACCATTCACAAACCGAATAGGAACAGAACATAACCAAAAAAAAATCATTTGACTGCTTTTACATATATCAATAGGAAACCCAAATCTTCTTTTAATTAATAAATAACTAAGTCAGTTAAGATCATTAATAACAGCATTTGTAAAAAAAAACTGTAACCCTTAGACTCTCAGGGGATAAATAAGAATCTTAAGACTCACTCGTAAAAATCAAATTCATTTATGCTTTAAGTATTAATAAATATTACATACAAATCCACACAATCGAATCAATTCAATATACAAGCGAAAAGCAACTCTGTGTCTCTAAACATATAGTACAGAGTCTAATATGCACTATACTAGGACTCCGAGTTAGTCGGATTATCAAGCACCTAGCAATTAACACAAATCGGCGTATTTTGCGAATTACAGCCTCATATAAAACTGTATATACCCCAAAAGTACTAAAAAATGACGTCACACCAAGGGCCCTAGTAGCACTAACATCTGTACCAAATGATAGTACACAATTAATTAAAAACAAAAGTTATATTTGAATTATTAAAAAAAAATCATTGCGTTTCCTACCTGTGACAAAATCCATGCCAATATTTCAACTTAAAAATGAATCCATTGACAAGTCGGTGGCACGAACTTGATATTTTTAATTCATTGTATGTAGTGCAAGAACTCTGCCTTTTTTACTAGAAATGTTATCCCTCATATCATCATACCATTTACCGATATCAGTATTATTTCTTAAATCTTGAAAAGCTTGACAACCTTCGATACTGCTGAGTACACCATATACTGAAACGTCGGCCAAATTAGGTTGATCTCCACCGAGGAACTTGGATCCTTTCTTCTTAACAGCATTAGTCCATGCATCAGCCGCATTATATAGTGAATGTCTAACATCACCCTCCAGATTGTGCCTAAAAAACAATAAACGTAAAAAAAACAAGACTAGCCAAAACCCAGCAGCATTTCAATACAGTCAATATAAAATGTTAATCGCAAACAACAGATATTATTAACCATTATGCTTAATTGTTTTAAATATTTACTAGTTTTTCCCGCCACTTAAGTAAGTATCCTATCCTACCAGACTATGTATCTTGTAAATCTTTGCTAATTTTGACAAGATTCATTCAGTCTTCGCTGTGCTTTACAAAATTTTAAGTATATTCAACATTAAAATATTTAAAATAAACAACAAAGTAAACTTTAAAATCTGCTTGCCATATCATTGCTCCAGAATATTTGTAAAAACTATATAAAACTTGCCTTTTCTTAAGTCTCTTGGCAATCATCCACATAGCTGCTGCACCACCATATACCATCAAAGCACACTCCCAACTGGGGAAGGACTGCTTCCAACCACCTACTTCCTCAAACCATTTGAAGGTCTCCAAAGCTTCACCTGGGGTTCGGTATACATTTGGTGAAAGTGTATGTACCAGCACACTATCTGCCCATTGACGCCACTCCCGTTCTTCTCTGTTAAATAATAAAAAGTCTATATTATAATAATTCTAGTCTGTAGTCTATATTATAGTAATTGGTTTATTCGACAAGACAATTTCAACTAAATGATGACATTTTTAAAAACTGTGTAATAACTATGTACAAAAACATTTCTATATTCACAATATTAAGTTCATTTGAAATTAAACCTCACATAAACTTAATTATAACCTTGTAACTTAAATATATTAAATATGAAAGTTATAGTAGACACATTATTGTAATATTGATAATACTTGTATATATATGAAAAGATACATAACCTCAACAAAATAACCTAACTAAATTGGTATAAATGTGACTTTGGTCAACTTACTTTTCTTCTACTCTCTCTTTCTGGTCAGGTACAGAAGAGTTGTGCATTACAAAATATTTATTTGTTATATCTGTAGTGCTTTTCCCATCATCATTGGTATATCTGGTTATGGGATAAAATTTAATAACCTCAGTAAGTTGAGTGGTTCTATCACGGAAGTATGTCTCTAAAGCAGATATTATAGCTGTACTGTCCATTAATTGCTGAAAAGTAATGTAGATAACATTAAATCATACTTTAAGGAAACATTTAATTTGAATCATTCGGAACAAGAGAAGTCTTCCGTCCGATAGTCCTAATTTACCTCATAATATATGGATAATATAGAATTAAGCAGTTAAAAATCTAATGTGATTATTACGACTTTATATTTACTATTATAATTTACTAATATTATAAACAGGAAAGTGGTAGTGCCCGCTTTAACAACTTAGCACGAATGGGCCGGAACGCCCAGTGTAGTACCACGACCACACAGAAGACAGGCGTGAAATGGAAGCAATTCCGTGTTTCGTCTGATGAGTGTGGTGCCAGAGGCCTAATTTAAATCCCTTTCTCGTTACCAGCCTTTTCTTATAAGGAGAGGATGGGAAGGGGAAGTGGATTTGACGGTGGATAAGAAGCATAAGAAGGGGAAATATCCTCTTTATGTGCATCTCCTCCTCTGTCAGATAAGGGTAGGCAACGCATCTGCAATTGCGGATGTCTATGGGCAGCGGTCGTTTCGCCATTTTGGCGGATTTAGGTGGCCGCTTGCTCGTTTGCCACCTTTTGTTATAAAAAAAAAGTTTTGATGAGAACACATAGGCTACTAATTTAGACTTATAAATTCTGTGCAGATAGAGTCGCGAACACCAGCTAAATACATCTATTAACACAACCAGCTTGCAATTATAAAAAACCTATTCCACTGTCAAGTTCTTTAATATATTTACCTGATATCCACCATCTACTTTGGCCAATACAATAGGAACTTTTTTGTAAGCGGACCATTTGATAGCCTGACGCAAAACTGCATCCACCTCTACAATTTCATAACTGATACCTTTGGAATCAAGATATGATCTAATTTTACAGCAAAATGGGCATGTTCGGTATTGGAACAAAATTAACTGTAAATTACTTGAATCTGATTCATTAATAACCTGAAAATAAAGAGTTATGCAAAAAAAATGTACACATGGTAATGTTCAAACCTAAGACCCACAAATTAAAAGTCAAGTTTTAACCACAGAGCCATCAACACTTGTAACAGTAGTATAACAATGTGGTATTATTAATAGACTTAATCTATATTATGTGGATACACAATGCATCACCATCCTTTACAGGGTGTATATAACTAAAATTATGTTCTGCATGGCTCTTGTTTCAGCTGATGTAATTTGGTATTGCTATAAGTTCCACTTCTACCATAACACCCAAATCAATTAATACAAACATGCATAGTACGTTTACAAATTAGATAAAAGCACTTACTTTGTAATGTGCCCGGTAAGGAGGAGCTTCGTTTAAAAAAGCATATTCTTCGTTCAAGGTAAGTTTTGGACGTTTCTTGGAATTTACTACATAATGCGTATAGCCCCCATAACCGGCTCCAATCAAGACACCAACGCTGGCGCTTACAAGGGTTAGTTTCGCAGTGGATTTCGGGAAACGATTTTTTGTAGAATAGAACGTTTTAGAAAATTTAACGTTGTCTTTTATAGAAGGTAAAACTACTTTCCGAAATATCGTGAATATGGGGCGCCACATTGTTCTTTTTACAATTTATTGGAAAAAAGATCACTGGAAGGACAAGAATAAAAGACGAACAATTCTTTTAACGTATTACGATTGTACTTGACATTGCTTGACATGACAACAAAGACAATTGACATTTGACAACTGTGGTTTGAGTTGCCAGGTTTTGATTATAACTTTTAAAGAGTATGTACTGATGGGACTCGATAACTCGAATGATTTTTTTCATTTGAGTCTCTTGGTATTGGTAACTTTCTCACTCAAATGCCACTCGAGTGAAGATGAGACTTCGAGTCACTCGGAATATAAAACACGAGTACCAAAATTTTTAAACCAATAAAACAAAATGAATTTACAATAAATGTTATAATGCACTACTAATAAGTTCTAATCCAATTTATTCTAACACGGAATTTTCGTGAGATCTAAATACGAACAGTTTTATTATGTTTTTATACATTTTAGATAATAATGAATATGCTTTAAACTAAGTTAAATGAATGTTAAACAAACTCACCAAAAAAACGGAAATAATGTATTTTTAAAAAACATATTCAACTGTAATTGCTGTAAGAATTTCTTACTTGGCTCGGTATAAATCACTCAAGTAGTACGAGTCACTCTTAGCTCGAGTCCGAGTAACACAAAAATTACTCAAGTCACTCGAGTGAAAAGTAAGTCGAGTCGCATTATCGCATTACTATTTTATTTTGGCGTTTGCTTTGTAAGTTTTTATTGTGACGGTTTGTCAATATTCAACCAGTTTATTTAAATAGTTTTCGCTTAACTATTATGAGGAAGGTGATTTCTAAACTATTTTTTTATATAATTCAGAACAGTCAATTGTCATTTGGTTTATCTTAACCGCTTTTTTGTTATGTTTAATGTTAATTGTGTTTAATGTTGCCTAATTTTAGTTCCTTTCCCTTTCCATCCTTTTCTTATGAGGAAAGGATGGGAAGGTAAAGTGGATTTGACGGTGAAGGAGATGCATAGGAACGGGAAATGTCATCTTTATGTGCGTCTTCTCCTCCGTCGATAAGGGTAGGCAAAGCATCTGCAAATGCGGATGTTTATGGGCAGCGGTCGCTTTCCGTTTTGGTGGATTCAGGCTCATACAACCTAAAGGTAGGGTGCCCACACGTGTACAAGCTAAAAGCGGGAAGTTCATACAACCTAAAAGTAGGATGCCCACATTTGTACAAGCTAAAAGAGGGAAAGTCATACAACCTAAATGAAGGATGCTCACACTCACTTGTACACGACAAGCTCAAAGAGAGAAGCTCGCACAATCCAGGCATGGTAAACCTTTGGTTGTAAAACCAAAACCAGCCATTGAAATCCAAATAGCGTTCATTCCCAGAGGCCTAAATTGATACAAGAACAATCTACCTGTCAACAACCTACGTGTCATGATGATGTCATGATCAATCAAATGTTCATTAATATGTCTTTTATGTAATTTATAAACTAGTCTACATATGAAATGTAATAAGTATCTTACGCTCTTTACGTAAAATAGATCTCCTTTCACAATCATCTCTCATCTCCCCCTCTTATGCATTCGTGCACCTAACTTTTTAAATCCAAAATTCTTTATATGAGGATAACAAAAGAAAATGCCTTTTGTTAGTATCATAAAAATTAGACTCTTAAATAATTAGGATCAGTAAATAAAAAATAAATTAATATGATATAGGCATTTAACGCTTTGTCTCTTGCCTTTTTGCTTCTGTCGTAACGCCTAGAATCTATCGCTCTGTCCTTACTCCTTAGGAAACTTCGTTTGAATGAACTAAAAAATAAAACTATGTAATGTTCAATACATGTTCCGCTGCAGTCGAAACCCACGAGGTATGTTTCTAAATTGTCCCTAAATTTCTTAAGCAATCACAATAAAAGCAAAGTCCTGTTTGTAAGAACTCAAGAAAGTTTTTATAAGTGCCATCTGTTGGTTGAAGTGGTTATTTAAAAGCCAGACAATGGTGTTGAATATTTAAAAAAATTATACAGAGAGAAGGACATTACCATTCGCCTTAGGGATGCTTAATCCAGGTGCTGTCGACATTTCTGATCGTTATTGTATCGATCCAATCGACATTTCTGATCGTTATTGTATCGATCCAATCGACAATGTATCATTCGATTATCGCTGTCGGTTTTTATTTATTTCTTTTAAAACATCAAAAGTGTAAATGTCTTATTACTAATTGTTTGTTTTCATAACATTTTCTTTAACAAAACAACTACAAAGTTATAGTCTAATTTAAGTTTTTATGGATATTATCTATACAAGTAGAGCCGGAACTAGGTTTGAGTGATTATTTTTAATGTCAAGTTATTGATGGCAAATGCTCGAAATAAAACAAGAGCACATAAAACCTTTACTGTACTTACTCAATCTTAGGATTTTCTAGAGTTTAGGCTTCTATAGTATTGTTACTAATGTTGTATCTAGAAGTGAGAAATTAATCTACTCATTTAGTGATATTCTTTGAAGTAAAAAAACGCGGTATACAAAATATTTTTTTTTACTTGTTTACTTCTACGTTTTAAAAAAATTGAGTACCGATACTTTTCGATCTCATCTACAGTGGTCGTGTTTCCATCTTTTTTGTTTTTGTATGATACAAAAATCGAATGGATCGTATGCTATCGATCCACGATAATATCGAATCTGATCGTGCATCCCTAATTCACGTCAATCTGACGCGCATATCCGATGTGAGGGAATAACAAGTTGTTTTTCTACGTCCACTGAGTCACTTTTTTTATTATATTTTGTTGTTGTAACTGATCACAGACAACGGTTATCATATGTCGTCACCAGAGGACACCAAAGCTATGCTTCAAAGCCGCATATGGCTCTTTGGCTCCTTAAGTGCCGCTCTAGCACAAATTTCCACGGAGAGAGCCAAAAAACATTCATTTAGAAAGAAACATGGTAAGAAAAAATTACATCTTATTTTGATAAATTAAAATTACTGTATCAATTTTTTTTACTTAATCTAAAACATCGTTAAGGTATTTAAATTGTATAAATACGTAGCGAACATCGAGCTTGATTTTTTTTTTCGTAAACGTAAAATTAAGTACAAGATACCTACCTGTTGAAATTTGGTTTTCAATTTTTCGTAATTGTATAGTTCATATTTGACTCTGGTTAAGTTTGCCGACTATTGGTATAGACCGTAAAACAGACATTAAAAACACCATTAGATAAAACTGTTCAGATAAAACTGAGCATGTGTAGAGAACGTTCCCCAGTTATCATTTTTTTCGTTGCTACGACGAGTTTTCAATGCCGCAAAACCTGTTGAACAACAATGTTTTAACTGAAATTTGATACACTTGCCGTTGAATGATTTTTATTAAATTCGGTCGACAATTTGAGGACATTACAATTGTTTATTTTAATCCAAGCCAAAACAGATCTTATGGTTAGGCTGCCATTACAAAATGGCGGACAAAAAATTAGCTTATAATATAACCTTATTTTAATTTTAAAAAATCACGTCTTAAGTTAGGCACTAACAGATGAAATAGCGCCATCTAGTGACTGCATTTCAAGCAAATATTGTATAATTTTTAATTTAAATAAACTGTTATATTTGTATGTACCACTTTCTGATTTGATAAACTCCTCGAAAATATTTAGAAATGACAAGAAAGTTTTGGCGAATAAAATTTGCATTCAAATATGTGTTTTGCCAACGTGATTATTTGTGACACTCCGGATAAAAGCAGTATCAAATAAAACCTAAGTCGACAAAATCGATTCAGTCGTTTAGTCACAATTAATTTACATAGCTACAGACGCACATACATAAAACAATTTTATTCGCGCGAGACATTATCGTTTTTGTAAGTCGGGTAAAACAATCTTAAAACAAATAAATACAGACATTATTTTGTTAAACAAGTATTTATATGATGTATTTTATTCATAAACTCGTTTAAATTGAACATAAAAACAATGTGCACGTCTTACTTAGGAACAAGGGACTTCAGTTTTGACTGAACAGATCGATTTTTCGGATAATTCTGTCAGATGAAACTGAACATACAGAGCTAAGTTACTAGCTAAAGCAGGGTTGACATATTTTCTGATAGAACCAACTGAGATATCGGCGCATCTCTTTGAGTCAGATCTTTCCTTCAGATCTTTCAATTCATTTTAGTGCCATCTGTTGATGTAAGCCAGCACCTTATACTTCTTTTTTTAATTTAAATTGTTTTTTCCATTATTATTAAAAACTCGTTTTTTATTTTACAAAGCTACAATTTCCCACTATAAATTTGTTAACATTATTATTTACACTTATTAATTAATATACTGTATCTACTTAGAAAACAGATAATAGCAAAAGCTATATAAAATAATTAGTAATGTATAGATAATACATTCAAAACAATGCCCATAATGTTACTACTAAAATTATTTTCATAAAAATAACATTAACGTTTTACCATTTCATATTCAAGGCCAAAGTGTACGCCATTTTGTGCTTCGACAAAGCGTCTAAACCCTAATTTATCATTTTACGTAAGCATATCATATTTATTTATATGTAAACGCTGCACTAGTATGTCATTTTTACGATATCTTTCTATTTTCTAGGATCTCTAGTAATACCAAATGGTGTTGCTAGAGAAAATACGCGTGTCTAAATAAAGCTGATTAATTTGACAATTTAGTAGAGTTGGTTATAGTTTGTCTATAGTGTGTCTAAATAAGTTAGATTAGTTTGACAATTCACTTCAACTTTAGTAGGGATGGTTGGGTAAAATCAGTTATGAATCTTATCGATTTTCGATTTTTATTCCAGTAGAAGTTGGAATCGATAGATTTATAGTTACAAATTATGAAATAAAAAAAAACACTGTTTTCTCAAATTAATAATGACCATAACAAATAATGAGAGTAAATAAATGTGTATTACTACTACAGCCGTTCGTAATCGAATTGGATTTCGCTATTATTTCTGTCATTGCTAAATTCTCTACATTGTAATCAATACTAGAATTGTCCTCTAAATTAGTTAATAAGAAAAATTATTATTTTCTTTTAAAATAGTATTTAAAATATAATAAATATGATAATATATAAAATATATAAAGTATAAAATATTTATCAGCAAAACAAGTAACCTAATTTTGGGGCTCGTAAATAATTTAGAGTTGTGAACGTTAGGGGCAATGCTGAAACCAGTTTTGGGTATTTCATTGTTCTCCGGTACTTCACTTAGCGGTATAACGGTACCGAACCTTAGTGGCGTAGTGGTTGGGTTATGTAGTAGTTAGTTCTTGTTCGATTTTTCAGTAGGAAAGTTGAAGTTACATTTTTGTCTAAAGTGAAATGTAAAGTAGGATTTGTCCCAGAGCAAACAGAAGCCAAATAACACCACATGCTTTCTAACGCGCATCTCTGAACTCTACCAATAGCGTTGGTTGCTGTGTTTATAGTTGTGTTGAGTTGTAAAGTTAAGTGCAGAGCTAGTTACGTTAGTAATTTTCTAGATTACTGACTTGTAGTTAATGACATGGATACGAATTTGGGATAATTAATTACTTTTCAATAATACGGTGTTTGGCAGTAGTTATTGTAATCCGGTGCAATTTTCGCGCATAGTTTTAGTCGGCGTAGTTATTTTCTGCTGTCTGTTTTGGATTTGGATAAACCTAAATTAATAAAGCTTGAATATTTAATCAAGCTGTTCTGTTCTGGGCACTCGTTCAAGATATTGTGTGACATAATCCTGTTCGGAAAACAAAAGTTCAAAGTGTTTTCTGTAAAGTTTAAAAAGGTAAGTAAAGTTTTGGTGTAGTGGTAGAATAATATTTAACGCGTGGTGTTTTTTTTTTTTATTGAATACAAAATGTTTAATTATTTTAATCTATTTAAATAAATTTATAACATTAATTTATTAAAATTAGTATTGTAGTAGTGAAAATAGTTTTGTTAAGTTAAAAAGTTATTTGATTTAAAAAAAACCGAATGAACAAGAGCAAACATTATTTACAGATCACCCAAACACTTTCCACATTGGATGAACAAGGGATGAACTACATCAGGAAGATTGAAAGTGACATTAAGAACAACTTCAGCGATAAAAAGGCACTATGGAAGGGCTAGCATCGGCTGATCATTTTGATAACAAGGAAGTTTGTCAAGAAAAAATCAACAATGTTGAAGGTATGTTGCATTGTTGTCGTCAAAGTTTTTTTAACAATGTATAACTTGAATTTAAAAATCACTAGAATTTGTGCTAATATTACTAGTTTTGTCTGAAGTAATTACAATGTAGCAATGCATCTTGTATGTTAACTCCAAATATATTTTACTACCATTACATTATTTAATTAACTGATAATACCTATCAATTATTTGAAATTATAGGCTTGTTACATATAAAAACTAATTTAATATAGCAAAATTAAAGAATATAGAAATCTCTACATTCTTTAAAGAATCTTAGAATTCTTATATGATCACCTAATTAGTGTAAATAATTAATGTATTCAAAGTAATTTACATTATACTTTTTAAAAACTAGTTGCCATTAAATAAAGAGTATAAGTATACATTTATTTAGACAATGTAATTATTTTAACATCAATATTAAATGTACAAAAAAAAACCATACCAACAAATACCATATTATTATTATTATTTGTCTAAATTTAAAAAAGTTGCAAGAATAATTATAAAGAGTTTGTAATTTTAAAGTAGGATAGAAAAGAATCATTAAAAAGTTAGGAAATTTAGATCAAGTATAGATAAAAGTACGCTAACCATACGGGAGTAGGATAAGACAGGGGAGATGATATACATAAAAGTATGCCATGAAATAGAATTGACTAATTTCTATTATAAGATATGTAAATATTGTAATTATATACTATTACTCTGCTCGGATAGAGTAAAAAATTGGAAACGGTAATCTTACTATAAATGTGAAAATCTGGATAGATGGATGTTAGAGTGTGTAGCTTAAAAGGCTGAATGGATCTTGATGAAACTTGAAATAGATGTAGAGGATAGTCTGGAAGAACACATAGGCTACTTTCTTTTTTATTAATAACAAGCAGACGTCCCATCGAAACCTAGTCTAGAAATAATCCAAAGTGTCAGATTTTATTATTGATACAAAGTCAGCAAACTACCTATGATAAGAACTATTAACTATTTTTGCAACATTTTTTGATTTATTTTTATTGAATAGTGTCCAGGTGGGTAATTTCTGCTTTATATACTCAGATTTAAAAATATGTGTAACTTCATCCTTAACATTGAAATAAATATTTTTTTTTGTCGATGTTTTTTTCTTATGTATTTGCCGACATTAGTTAATGTTTTTAGTATAAATTTTATATATCACGTCTAACGATCTCTTACCCCGTCAACATTTTAATGCTCAAAATACGTGTTATTATATTTTAATTTAGACTTTAACAAATCAAAATGGAATTTTCAATTTACAAAAATGTTGTCTCCTTCTTATGACAGTTCCCATGGGAATTACTTGTTAAAAATTAAATATGAACTACAAAATTCCTTAAAAGATTATAACAATGTTGTAAAAGTCTGTATTAAATGAAAATCCTATTAATTTTACGTAAAATTATTAAAAAGAAATAACATACCTACGGCTAATTTGTCAAGTAGAGCTGGATTGAGTTTATACGTCATTCATTCGGTCTATTGATTTATAAATTTAAACAAAGAAAAAATCTTTTTTTGTGACAGTTACCGCGCGAACCTTCTTCCTAGAGGTTATAGAAATGGCGCAGTCTAATTGAAATATTTTTTACAATCAAATTAATGAACTATATTAATCAAATATACAGATTAAAATAGTAACGACTTAATACGTAAACATAATTAGTAGAGTTAATTTCTTATAACATACTTTGTTATTATTACAAATAGTTGTAATAATAACAAAGTATGTTAAATTTAGCATCACGTTATGGTTCAATAAATGACTTAATTGTGAAATATTATTCCTATAATATTATGGCACGGTACTGTTAGGAAGGAAAGAGAGGTAGATATAAATGGATTCAGGTACTAGATGTACGTAGGTTCACGGGGAGTTGCGCCGGGAAGAAAATCAATACGGTGCGCTGCACGGAGCCACCACTCATTTTATTTATGTTCCCGACGTCAATACAATGACCGTTTTATTTAAACATTGCTCAATATGTACTATTATATTAATATAAACCAATTTATATTTATTTAACGTGTTCTGAAATTGTGTTTTATATATTCGATGGTCGGAAGTTATTTTTTTCGTGTTTGTTTGCCTCTGAGGCTTAGTGGTTTGTTTATAAGATAGCAAAACTATGTGCCCAAATCACGATTTCAACTAATTCGTTATTGTAAAACGTTAAACTTGGTTAACATGCGTAAAAACAAAATGCGGTCACGAAAGAGAGGTAATATTTACCATTATAAAATAATAGTTAATGTTTGTTGTAATAATTGTTTCACTGTGATAACGTTAAGGGAAAAGGTAAGTTTTAAATGATTCTCCTAATATTTATAATATGGTACGCCTAGCAAAATATTCACATTATTGTGTTATTCTGTTTTATCTTCTTCATATTTTATTTATTTCATCTCTTAATGTATTACTGTCGCGCAATACTCTTTCTTAACTTATGCCCAATGTGCCTTTTTACGCAAAAAAATTAGTAATGATTAAAGCCAAAAATTATTAAAATGTATAGAAACCTAAATAGTGTTACCAACATTAAGCAGAAATCTTTCCAAGATTTTATTTTATTTTTATGATTGTGTTCATGGTCATTTTTTAATGTATTTATTAACGTATTCATCAGGTAACCAAGGATCATTTCATTGTTTGCATTAAGATTGTTTATGTAGACAGCTTCATACCATCTGCATCAGCATCTGACGATGGGTTACCACTACGGAAACATACGCACATAAACATGTTTTCATTTTCAAATACCTTTATGTTTATGTACATGTGTTTCGGCTGTGGAAATACCAAGAACAACAACGCCGGCTGTGAGATTTATTAATTTTATTTGTATGGTTCCCTTTTTCCGTATCTCATTACTAGTTTTTCTTACATATACATTTATTCACAATAAAAACTAGTAAATATTAAATTCGAGCTAAAAATTATCTTTGGTAATGCTGAGCTTTTTACTTTATAACCAATTATTAATGGCCAGTTTGGTAATATGCAATTCAATTGCGAATTACTTTCAATGATAATCGAAAAAAAATCGATACCCATTATATTATAGAATCGATTTTAATGTATGAATAAATAATTTCAGAAAAGGCCCAGGTGACAAATGATAATGAGCCTACATCTGGCTCTAAACGGAACTACGCTGACGGGCAGTTGAACGCCGAGAACAACGATGATGATGTCACCAAGAAAAAGAAGAGAAAGGAAGAAGATAAGGAGCCAATGTCGAAGCCCGCAGCTGCAGCACGCGGTGGACCCGGACGGTAAATAAATACAGTGTTTACAGAATTTAAAATTCACAATTAGTGGTAGTGCTAGTGATAAATAGTGGATGAGATTCGATTGTTAAGTTTTAAATTATAAGAAATACTCTTATTGTAGGGCTCCGAGTGGCACCAAGCCGCCCGGGCCGGCAAGCAAGACGGGCGTGGCTCCGCTGGGCAAGAGCGGTGGCAAGGGCTCCTCTAAGACACAGTCCGGAAAGGGCGCAGGAGGAAAAGTAAACAATCAACTGCATCAAGTAAAATACAAACAAAACGTTTTATTTTGTTTTCACGCACGAGGATTTTTATTTTTATTTTTCAAAACTGTCTATATTGTAAACTGTTGATTGTATTTTGATAATGTTTGTAACAGAAAGGCGGGAAATCGCAATCTACGAACAAGCAAGATAGGAAGAGTCCCGTGCAAAATCAGAAATCGGGTCAAGCTAAAGAGATTGGTGATGGAGAGTCCGAGGAAGTGAGGTCGGAGTCAGGGCCTAAGGTGCCGCCACTGAAGATCGTCATCCCAGGTGGCGCTGGCGGCTCCGGTGGCAGGAGTGAACAGGAAGAAGGTAAACATGTCACTACTATAAACTATCATCGTCAACATTATTCATCTTAGTCATAACATATCTTTGACCATCATTTATAGCGAATAAAGTAGATCTTTTTTATATTAAATTTTGAAGGTGATACTTGTACTATATTATAAGTGTATGTAAAATGTAATAGTCGTTATTGTGTAAGGCGGTACAGGTCAAAGGGGTAGCGGCAAGGGGCGCGGGGGAGGGACGTTGCCGTACGTCATCCCCTGCACCACTAACGACGCGGGGCAAACATCTGACAGCTCAGACGGTAACAGCGATGATAAACGTCTCAGTGAATGTGGAAAGGTAATAATATCTTTCGGTAGGCAATATTAAACGAATATTAATACAAAGTTGCTCTAAATTCAGAACTAATTCTAAGGTGTTTTGTCTTATTTTCACATTTTTTAAATTACCCCAGTTAAATCGCTTTAGCTTATAATCCAAATTTCGAAAAAATAACTCAAAGAAATAGCTATCATGTATGAAATCGGACTTGGATCCAATTGTATGAATATATTTTTATTGCAAAGACTGGCCAACGGGTGCTGCGCTCTCACAGGACCAACGACGACAAGGATAAAGGTAGAACATCTCCGCATACTGGCGCTGAAACTAGGGGACAAGCTCTCAGTCTAAACAAGAGCCCACCTCAGGGATCTGTAAGTATATAACACAACACAAAAGTCACAGGATTACCATTATAAAATTATATATTCCCCCTTTGTTATTTGACAGAAAGCAATGTATTAAACAGTTTAAGCAGTGAAAACCCACAATTAAACTAACTAGATATAATTAGAATTCTTATATAATTTTCTTTGTCTGGTCTGAACTTTATAAATCTGGCCTAGCCGCTTTGAAAAGAACCTCTAACTCGAGTAGGGCAAAAAAAATTTTCAGGATCACCATCACGACCACCACTCCAGCCGAGAGACTTCAGGTATTATTAACTATAATTCAATCGCTTATGTAAAACCTTGAGAACTTTTATATTCAATTAAATAAATGTTTTATTGTATTCAATGTTAGTAATCATACTTCTGATTAATATATAAAAAGCGAAAGTTTAGATGGATGGAAGTTTGTTAGACTTTGTAGCCTAAACTGCTTAACGGATCTCGATGAAATTTATCATGACATAGAGAATAGTGTGGAAGAACACAAAGGGTCATTTATGTTTTTTTTATTAACTAGTGAAAGCTAGTTAATTATTATAAATGTAAAAGTATAGACGATTGTTACTTTCTCCCCGGAAGAACTCAAAGTTTATTTTCTATTTAACTCTCAAACGACTAGGCCATTGTTAAAAATTCTGGTGGTTGTAGAGTTGCATCCGAGGAAGCGTAAAATCAAGACATCGAAGGACAGCCATCGTGAATCGAGACACGAAACAATCCAGGATACCAGCGTCATATTGGCGATCATAAACTCCAACCCTTACCAGATGCATTTACAGATCCGTAAACAGGTATAATAGAGACAAGTCTAACCGAAAGGAGCGAGGTTTTGGTATGGAATTCATATATTTAAAAATGTCGCATGATTGTTGTGTTAGATGTGATTTTTTTATATATTTAAAGCAGAGCAGCGAATTATTTATCAAAGCATTTGATAAGGCCTGGCTTTTTTACATTTAAAAAAACTTATTTTAATTTCAAATATTAAGATGATTTAATTTCTTTTTTATTTTCTTAACATTTATGGAATTTATGCATATTTTCTATCAGGGCAATGTCTTCGATTATTCTTAATGCTTGTCAAATACTTGTTCCTTGTCTTATTTATGTTTTAATGAATCTATTATTTTACTGCTGGCTGTTTTAGTTTTTTTTTTTTGCATTTGTGTAGCTGATTATTGTACTCTGTCCAAAGATTTTTATTTTTAATAATCATATATAAAGTCAATGATTTAAACTTTTTAAACTACTAAATACTATAACAAAGACAAAGAATTTAATATAAATTTAATATGTTTTATATTTGATAGTAATAACAAAGTCCATTGTAGTATTTAAAAATAAATAATTAATAAATACAATGAAATTACAATAACAATTAATTTAACGATTGGACGGGGTATAATAATTTTGTTAATTTGACTAACCAATCTCTAAAATAAGTGCAAATATAATTCTTAGCTTGATATTTAGGTAGAGCAACGTCAAAAGTGCCTGTTCCCAGTAAAGCCAAAGCCACCGAAGGACTTCCACAAGTACCTGATGAACCGCTGCACCTACACTCTGCAAGCAAATGTCAACCCTCCAGCTATAGAAATACCGCCCAATCTATCGCAGCAGATGGTAGAGGAATTCAAACGACAGGAACAAGAAAGGTAAACAAAATCAGATATACAGAATTACTAAATTCTTTTACCCGATACAAAAATAACAATAAACTCCGCTAACAATAAAGAATACAATTATTGCCATATAATAAAACAAAATACATGTAATATATGGACTTATTCTGTAGATATAATAGTACAAATTTTTAAACATAATAAGGTTGGGGTAACCAAGCAGACTGAATACTAAAAATCTTAAGAAAAGAATAATTACAAAAATCACAATGTGAATAAATGTCAATTACGTTAAAAAAAAAAAAACAAATATATTAAATCGTTGTATTATAGGTGTCTTTATTTTAAATTTTATTTTCTATACATGTTATTAATCTAAAAATGAGCTTCGGTTGCTCAGTGGTTTGAGCACTTAACTTGTAATCTATAGGTCTTGGTTTCGAATCCCGCTGTATCAATGTGATTTTCGATTTTTCGAATTTTCATATGTACATAATTTACCCGACGTTATTACGGTGAAGGAAAACATCGTGATACTGCACATATCGGTGAAGAAATTCAAAGATATGTGTAAAGTAAACCCGCAGCCAGCGTTGTTGACTATGTCCTAGTCACCCTAACTTAGGGTAGGCTCCGAGCCGGTGGGGACATATAATGAGCTGGTGATGATAATAATCTATTTGATTAAAGTATGTAATTAAACTGGTTTTATGTAAAAATGAAACTAAAGGTATGTTTTTTAAACAGGGCACATTTACGTATGCAGCATCTTGTTGAAAAAGAGAAGTTAGTATTGTCTGTTGAACAAGAGATATTGAGAGTCCACGGACGAGCGGAACGCGCTGTCGCCAACCAGGTAATATACAGATATAATCAACCTATTTATTTATATAATAATTTACTTTACTAGCTGTTGCTCGCGACTACGCCCGCGTGTAATTAAAACAAAATTAAAAAAGGTAGCCTATGTTACTTGTTAACATAGCAATGGTGAATTGAAATTAGCCTAGTAGTTTTTGAGTTATTCCAATATATCAAATTCAATACTATATTTAACTCAAAATTTGTATTTTTTGTCTCTTTCTCGCATGACAATTTTTTCTCCAATTAATTCACTCCTGAATTAAATAACGTGAAAACGTAGCCTATATGTGTCGTAAATGTAAAGCTTTTTATTAAAAAACATGATTAAAAATATAGTGATGGCTGATAAATAACAGAGAATTCTGTTTACGATTTTTAAACCCTAGACTCATACAAAAATACGTAAAATTTAAAATTCAGTGTATTAGTAACAATATATTTTGCTACAAAAATCTCCAATCAAATTAGGGGTTAATAATTATTTTGTGTTATTCACAGGCTTTGCCATATTCAGTATGTACAGTTCTTCGTGATAAGGAAGTATGCAATCTGCTTGCACCAGAACAAGAGGAGAAGCGTAATGCACAACGTTCCAGATGCAACGGACGACAGATTAACTCCTGGCTGCAAGAAGTCGATGATAAATGGGAAAAAATCAAAGTAAGTTACTAATCTTACTTCTTACCATCTTACAAATATTATAAATGCGAAAGTTTAGATGGATGGATAGATGGATGTTTGTTAGAGTTTGTAGCCCAAACGGCTGTACGGATCTCCATTTAATTTGGCACAGTTTTAGAGCATAGTCTGGAAGAACACATAGGCTACTTTTTATTCCGGGAATAGTTACGGTTCCTGTGGGATTTATTAATTTATTTTTTTAATATTTACTCGATCATTCTGCAACGGTTCAACATGTCTTATTGAAATTTGGCACAGATATAAAACAGAGTCTGGAGTACATATGGGATAAGCTTCATCCCCGAGGTGTCCGGTTCCCGTGGGATACGTAGCTTTTTGTTATTTATATAGCTCGTATGTTTTCTAATACCACGCGGACGAAGTCGCGGGCAACAGCTCGTATTATATATGTAGGATAAGGAGGTTAAATATGTTTCTTTTTAATTGATTTCGAATTTTATATTTTGACGTTGGTTTAAAATTAGTTTTAAGTTGAGAGAGAAAAAAGAGGAACGAAGAGGATGACGATGTGTTTAGGAAAAAGTGTGTAATTTAAAAAAAAAAACAGTAAACAACGAGTTTATTTTTTTTATTTGAACGAGGCACAACCCTACATATATGCAAATGTTTGTCTGAAAGTGTAAAAAAAATCATTGGCTAGTAATTATTAATTAAGTAATGCTTTACTATGTCACTAATTAAAAAATATACATTTTATGGGATCCTTGGCTCATAATCTTACTAATATAAATGCAAAAGTTTGTAGCCTAAATTGCTAAACGGATCTTGATGAAAATTGTCTTAGATATAGAGGATAGTTCAGAAGAACATATAGGCTACTTTTTTTAATACCAGGCGGACAAATCCGCTGTCGGAAGCTTGTTAATAAAACAATTAATTTGTGTTTGTTAACAGGAGGTAATGCTTCGCCGTCAGAATATGGAGGCAGAAACTCTACACGCCTCTCAAATAATGGAATGGGAGTGGAAATTAAAAGATTCCGGCCTCTGCGAGTTCAACACGAACCCCAAGATAGAAAACGTCCACGTCCCTCAGATTCACGTATCGAATTTTGATTTGCGCGCTTAAGTAGCTATTTCAGAATTAATTTATACTTGTGTCCGTCTCACCAATAAGGTGGTTTAACCATAAAAGGGGTGTGACCAATATCAACATATTACACATATTCAATTACACTTTACATTAACAAATTTTCCTAAACATACTCTTTACTAATCAAAACTAACACTTCGAATTGATTGGAATATACTATCATGACACAATTCTGTTTATTAAAATATTACAATTAAAAAAAAACATATTGCTTTAAAAGTATTAGTATTTTTGACCGACTTCCCAAAAGAAGGGGGTACTCAATTCGTCTGTATGTTTTTTTTTATATGTGTGTTATCAAATGTCTTAATATAGGGTTATCGGCACAATTATTTTTTTTACGCCCCAGTATACTTTATTTTTTTTATTTGCATTGCCACTACGTTATTCAGAATTCAAATATGATCAATATTGTACACTAGCTGTCTGTTTACCGTTCTTGTTCCTGTCGTTTGAATTCCTCTACCATCTGCTGCGATAGATTGGGCGGTATTTCTATAGCTGGAGGGTTGACATTTGCTTGCAGAGTGTAGGTGCAGCGGTTCATCAGGTACTTGTGGAAGTCCTTCGGTGGCTTTGGCTTTACTGGGAACAGGCACTTTTGACGTTGCTCTACCTAAATATCAAGCTACGAATTATAGTTAGTCAAAATAACATAACAATTACAATAACAAGACAAACATCAAAATTGTTATAGTTTAGTTACATCCCTTTTGTATTGGCAAGACGGCTCAAGGGGGTGCAAAGTTAAAATTCGAAACCTCTGAAATCTATCACATATTCTGGTACCTGATGATCTATATTTCAAATCGTTTAAATATTAATTTAAAATAGATTGTCAGTTCTCTGAATATTAGATAAGTTCTTTCATATTAAGGGAATCGGCGATCTATCGTTTTATAAATATAGATTGCCTGTTAACTTGATATGTTTTTAGTTAGTTTAGGTAGGAGTAAAGGAGATCATTTTTTTGTATGGAATTTAGGTCCAGAAAATTATGCAGCGATGTTGTTTCATGTAATCTCTACATTTTAATGAGTTTAAAAGAGACGAATATCTTCTTCTTCTTCTATCTTCGCCTTTTACCAATTATTAGAGGTCGGCCTTCCTTTTTTTTACCGAAGGGGAATGCGTTACGCATACTCCATGCCTCAGGGCAGACACGTGAGTTATGTGGGACTCTCCCACCATAGTGGGGGGCATACCTTACTAAATCCCTCCGTTCCCTCCTGGCCATTATGTGGGGCGCCATGGGATCGCTTTCGCTTGCCACCGGGACGCC